GTTCCTCAGTAAAGTTCAATAAAGCTAGTATTAATTTCAGAAAAACTTTCTAAGCAAATAGTGACGAACATTGTCATTTTTCATGGTTAAATCAAATCGCGTTACTTTGTTTTTCGGGTGTATATGCGATTGAAGTATCTCTTTTTCTAAGGTTACCGATTTTTGACCAAGGCGGTGCCGGAACGGTGTATCTTTGCGCAACACATTTATGCTACTCATGAGTAGGCTAAATGGTTTCGTATTTTCGGTATCTGGGTTGTGCCGCATTGCCGTTAGTGTGTTTGGTTGTCCTTCCACTTGATGTGGACTGCTGTTTAGTTATCAAATGGCGAGCTTTTACTTAACGTCATTTTTACTGTGCATAGTTTCTTCTTTCCGAGGGTTTCTTTGCTGTTTATGGTCCAAATTTATTGCCTTCGTACAAGTGAATCAATGGTAATTTCAAGAGTTGTTTGTTTTCTCGGAGTTGCTGTATTATTTCATCTATACTGGTGCTGCAGTCGCCAAACTGTTAAACTTTGCTCGGTAAGAATTATATGCATGGAATATACTGCCTAATGATGGTAATGCAGGACGAAAATGTCTCGAATGTTCCTTCTCTGATTCGACCTCTTTAACGAGCTTTTTCCATTCCATCTTGAATTGAGTGTCGTTTCCTTGTTAAAAACAGTGTTTTCATTGGTTTAACAACCAACGAGCCTCGTTTGTTCGAAACTCTTGCGTTAATTGGCATTTTTTACGTATCCGATTATGAGCATTAATTCGGGAGCAGCTGTTGCTATTGCTGGGCTAATTACGTCTGGACCTAATACGATAGCCGATGTAGCGGTGATTCACGAAAATGGTGTGATACATTGTAAAAAATGTTCGTATTGTTCTTCACTGGGGAGAGGGGGTGGGGGAATGATCAGAATAATGATGATTAAATACGAATAGAGAAGTAGACCACAGTCTNTCTGAAACATTCTTAACGGTCGTTTGAATAGTGCCTGTATAAAACCAACCATTACTTATGACCGGAGAAAAATTTCAGCGAAAAAATACGCAAGGCTGATTGCACATAGAGCTTATATGCAGCACTCTTATGTATCCCAAGCGGGTAACCAAGAGTTAACGAAGTTTCATGAAGATATCCTGAATGTCTTGTGACTACTTAAGATGAAGTGAGAAATAAAACTTTCAGATATTTAAAATGCGACGCTCGTTACATGGGTGAGCAAACTGAGAGAACTCTGTTGAGAAGAATAGTGGGACCAACTTTCAGCCGTAAACCAAAGGTGAGTAATGTTTTGCGGATTTAAGAATGAGTTAAGATAATAAAACTTTCAAAGCACATCCAACATAACGCTTTAGCGGATGATAACGGTGAAGCGAGCAACCCATTGCAATATTTTCAGCGCAATCAAAAACAGAACTGCATTTGTCTAGAAGAATACCAGTCAGGTTCTCACGTGTGTACCCTCCTCGTGAGGTATATAGTAGACGGAGTATGTTGCCAGCGAGAAGTTTAGAGACAATGTTAATATAACTAATTCCTCTGTGGTTTTCACAAGAGGACCTTGAAAATAAAGGGAAGATGACCGACTCTCACCACTCGGTTGGAACCTGTTCACTGTCCCATAATGAATTCAGGACTT